TAAGACTCAGTCAGAGACCTAGCAGAGCTTTGGCCTAAACAGCCAAGGAACTTCTTTACCAGTTCTACCGCTACCTCAGATATCAGTGCGTGGTGCAAGACTCCATTTTCTGGGGTTAGACAGGGTAGGAAGCACATGATTTTGTCCTTGAATTTAGTGCTTGACTGGTGAAAGTTAACACTGGCTGAATTCCAAAAACCCTCATCCCCAGACGTGCCTGTATATAGAGATTCTGGAACACCTCTAGTGTCAGGGACTACAGTCCAAGTCTATGACACTTTTACTCCAACTAGCATCACCTGTAACTGGTTGCAATGGTCTTGAACCGTGAGTCTAGCAATAGACAGCCTGCAGCAGTCCTACTCCGATGTCATGTGGGTCTTGGTGAGCCACGAGCTATGTGGCACAGCTTGTTGGTTTTGGTGGCATCTGGAGTGGCATAGGATCCCAGGGTTTATCTTTCCATGGTACTTTTCTCAGAGCTGGGTGGAATCCTGCAGTGCCTGTTATGGTTTGTGTCTAAATGTCCCCCAAAGCCTCATGCGGTTGTAGGGTTTTTTCAGAGGTGGCTGAATCTGGAGTGTGTGATGCTGGGATTAACAGTGTGAGTGCTACGCCAGCCCTAGGGCGGGTAGCCTGCATACAATATAATGGACAGAAAGAGTCCTGTCTCCCCTCTCTCGCTGCTTTTGCTGTCTTCCCCCTAACATAGATTCCTCTCCTCTGTGAAGCCATCCTGCCATGGAGCCAGCTGTTCATGGACTGAAATCTCTACAAACTGTGAGCTAAATAAATAAACCTTCCCCCCTTTAACTTTGTGTGTTGAGTATTTTATCTTTTTTTTTTTTATCATCGGTACCAGGGATCGAATTCATGCAGGTATTTTATCTTAACAATGAGAAAAGCAACTAAGACAGCCTGACAATAGGCCAGTAACTATGGATGAGGAATGTAGGCGTAGGCAAGCCCCAGGCAGAGGCTTGTGGGAACAGACTACTCTTTCTAGTTACTCTACTAGTTCTACTAGTATATTCATGACAAACCTGGGGTTCTGTTGCTCTCTAGTATGGAGATAGTGATAACAAAACAATAGCAGATTCTTGGCAAATCTTGACCTGAGTGACTTCTGGTTCTGAAATAGTAGAAGTAATTGCAAGTTCAGAGAAAATAAACAGCCTGTTCAGAATGTCTGGAAAGAGGTATAAACCAGCCAGATTAGGAAAAATGAAATAAATAGCAGATCCATGAACACAAATGGAATACTAGCCAGCCATAAAAAAGAATGAAACTGTGTCGTTTGTTTCAGCTTGGTTGGGGCTGGAGATCATTACATTGAGTGAAATAAGTCAGCACAGAAAGATAAATTCTAACTACATGATCTCACTCACGTAGAATCTGAAATTGTTGATTTAGCAGAGACTGGGAGTAGAATAAAAAAGTAGAGGAGAGGATAGCATTTCATTTTGCAATGTTAGAAATTGAACCCAGGGCCTGTTGCAGGCTAAGCAAATGCTGTACTATTAAGCTGCATCTCTAGTCTGAGGATAAAGAAGCATTGACGAATAGGTATTAAGATAGAAGCAAAAAGATTGGGTGTTTTTGCATCATAAAATGACCATAGATAACAATATACATTTCAAAAAGCTAGAAGAAAGGATTTTGAAAACATTTCGAGGATGAATTAAGTGAGGGGTGGGGGAACAGTGACAAGATTGATGTGTGTATGTCCAGTGACCCTGGTACCTGGGCCTCTGTCGTCCAGGATCTTGTGTGTCATGAAGAATCGGACTGAGTGACACATACAAAGAAAGAAGTCAGCAAAGTTTATCGAGGTGATAATGCACTCAAAGAAGACGGGACTCTCACTGAGAAAAAAGAATTAGCCTGAGCCCAAGAGTGTGGGTAGAAGTGTCTTCCACTTCTGGACAAGAGTGTGAGTCCTTGCTCAAGGGCTGTGTTGGGTGTGTTTGACATGAATGTGCTGAGTTACAACTGCGCATCTCTTACCCATAATTCACTCTTTCATAATTGTATCCATGGGATCTAATCCACTTGTGTGAGTAGATAATGAGCTTGTGGATTTTTGAAGAAGTTATTACAGAACACAAATACCACATGACTTTATTCAGACATTGGATTTGATAATAGAGATGGAGAGAAACAGCCAAATTTCAGCAATCTTCAAATGGGACGTGGTCTGCTGACTCCAAAGCAGAAACAGCATGGCCGAAGGACGTGGCAGAGTAATCCTGCTTAGATTATCGCTAACAGGTAGTGGAGTGCAAGATTGGAGCTCCAGAGAGAAAGGGAACAGGGGCCAGATACAGAACCCAAAGTCCTCTCTGTGACCCACCCAGACACACTCAAAAGTGTGCTTCATTAGTCCCCTCGGTGGCTCCCAAGCCATCAACTTGGTAAGATTAACTCTGGTGATACAGACAATATGTAGAAGATCAGGCATGGGAGTGTTCCCATAAAATCTGAGAGACTGGATTCACCCATGCCTGTGCATCACTAGCCCCTTATTCCATTCATTGTCTGGCTGGAAACAGAGAGGTTGCACCTCAAACACACCCCAGAGGTGACCAATGTTTATCCACTCGAGCTTCAAATATATTACCCTTTTCCCCTGAAAAGAAGACCTAGCCAGAAATTAATCAGGCTTGAAAAATGGGTATCAGAAACGCTGGTCCCAGTCAGCCTATCCTTGCCCTGCTTGACTTACTGGGAGCCACTGAACAAGAGAATAGTGATAACAGACTGATTGGGTTGGCATTTTTGCTCACTCGGTTTTTCAAGGCTGATTATTTTCTGGCTAGGTCTTATTTTCAGGAAAAACCCGCTAGCTGCCTTTTCCCCACCCACATTACCATCACCTTAGTGCCAGGCGGATTCCACATAACCCCTCAACTCTACTGTTGTTTCAAGCCATTCTTGGCATAACAACAACAAAAGTCTCAAAATGCAAATCTGAACATCTCTGTTCTTGACTAAAACTCTTCGATGTGTTACACCTTCCTTTTGCCTAAATACTTCCGTAGGCTTCCCAGCCCATCTTTTCTCCTTCCTTCTCTACCTTGCTTTCTCTTTTTCCACTTCTCAGCACTTGTGAACAGTGAGTACTTTGATGGGAATGTAGATGTGTCTTTGACATACTGACTTCATTTCTTCTGGATATACATCCAGGTAGTGGGAATGGTGGGTCATATGGTAGCTGTTTAATTTTGAGGAATTAATACTGTGGTAGCTAATTAAGTTTGAGGAATCTCTGTATGATTTTCCATAGTGGCTGTACTAATTTGCAGTCCCACTCAACAGTAGGCAGTAGTTCTGTTCTCTTCACATCTGTAATAATACTTGCTATTTTTAGTCTCTTTGATAATAACCAATCTTATTGGGGGGGTCAGGTGATATCTCGTGACTTTGATTTGCATTTCCCCACTAACTAGTGATACTGAACATTTTTCATATACTTATTGACCATTCATGTGGGTTCCTTTGACCAATGTCTGTTTAGTTCTATTGCCCAGGTTTTTTTTTTTTAGATTTAGTTTTTCAAATTCCTTATGGTATCCTGGATATTGAGTCCTTGTCAAGTGTGTAGTTTGCAAACATTTCTTCCCTTTCTGTAGTCTGTTGATTGCTTGCTGTGGAGAAACTTTTTAGTTTGATATAATCCCATTTGTCTGTTTTTCCTTTGGTTTTCAGGACTTTGGGGAATTTGTCCAAAACCTCCTTGCTCATCTATGCCCAGAAACCTTTTTCCTGGGAATTCTCTTGTTTTTAAATTGAGACATACTTGGTCATTGGGTACATAATGATCCCTGGGGATTCTTACTCTTAAACTTTGGTCGGGGGTGGCAAACTGGTGCCCCATGGGCAACCCCTCTCTTTCTTAATTTAAAAATTTATAAGAGACTGAGACCTCTCTTCAATGAAAGAAAAAGGGAGAAGATTTCTTTTAGTCAATAAGGTGAGAGCTATAGGATTAGAACTGTATTGTCTGTAGGATTGTGAGAAATCAATGCTAAAAGCAGACCAGATTCAACTTTCAAAGTCAAGTCAGCCCCAGGAACCATTTCCCATTCATTTGAGAGGCAGGAAGGCTCAGGATTTAGATTGACAATGCCCTGCAGAGGGGTAGACACTTGGTCGTTCCTAACAGCACTTTACCATTCTCTTTCTACCTACCTATTGCTATCCTGGGCCTCCAGCAGGGAGCTGCTCGTGTGGTACAACTGGGGGACCTAGAAGGTCTGTATTGCTTGAAAATGATGAATGACATTTTGAACTGGCAGAAACTGCACATCGCTCTAAGGACAAGAGTCCTGGTGATACCGAGTTAGAAATAGGACTTGCATCGGTGGTTCACAGAATTAAAACCCAAATTTACACCCCCCCCCCCATGCTTTGGTCTGCAACCGGGGATGGGGGCGGGGGAGGGGGGGCAAGCGATCTCAAGCAAATGCTAACTGCAGCAGCAAACCGGAGGGCAGAACCTGCCTTTCCTGCGCTGCGTGTGGATCCAGGAAGCTGCTCCGGAGCAGAAGTGAGCATCACCGAGGCTCCCTGAGCCAGGCCTAGAGGCTGGCATTTCTGAACGCTACTCTGCAGTCCCCAAGGATGCTCGGCGTGCGGGGCAGGCGCGCGCTCGGGGCCCTGCCTGCGACACCGCAGCGGGCGGGGACCGCGGCTCTGGGTTGGCGACTGCAGCCGGAGCGGTCGGTCGGCTGGAAGCGCCTCCCTCGGCCATGCTGCAGGGGCTGCGCCGCGGCGCGCTGAGCTGGGTCCGCGCCGGGCTGCTGGGGGCGCGGCCCTCCGGGGGGTGCCGACCCTGCAGCTGGGCTCGTCCCCGCCGCGCGCGCCCCAGCGGCCTCGCCACGGCCAGCCCGCCCCGCGCCTCCGCGGCGCTGGCCCGTCAGGTACCCGCGGTGGGGAGCGCAGGGGGGAGCGCAGGGGAGGCAAAGGCGCGCAGGGTGGAGCGCGTTGGGGAGCGGGGTGTCTGCCCGGAGCCTCGCCTCGCCTCGCCTCGCCTCGCCTCGCCTCCGGCCTTTTCCTGCCGCTCTCCTCGCCTCGGCCGCCTTCCCTCCCCAGAGGCGGCGCCCTTCTGCGTTTTTTCCCTCCGAAACCCAACGCCCGGGCTTCACCGAGCTCCCAGCCCCGGACGACGTGAGGGTCACCACGGAGGCTCGGGGAGGAGGCGGGCGCGGATCGGAGCTGCCCGCCCCCACCTTCGCGTCCTGCCTGCCCGCCCCCCCAAACTCCCAGATCGCAGCCTGCTGCCTGCTTGGATTTGCTTTTTTCCCTCCGCTCCCATCGTTATGGAGCACATGAGGCTTTTATTTTTTATTTTTTTAAAAATCTGCTCCTTTTCCTGATCTGCCCCGTTTCTTGGTGTGGTCATCTTTAAATTGCCCCCAAGACCACTGAGGTTTCTCTTAAGGTGTGAGGTCCGTGTTTGGGGTCCACAGCACCCGAGGAGCCTGCCCCGGAGAATGAATGGGCCACGCCCGTCCTGTCCCATTTGCCAGCTGGCTGTTGGGCGACAGTGATTGACAAGACCACGAGGCCGAGCGCGCCCGGATTTCTCTATAAATGGCTTAAAACCCCAGTCTAGACGATTTAGTCGGACAGAAGGGAAGACAATTGCTTTCTTGTTCTTTGCCGGTGAACTCCAGCCCCAGGGGCTGACCAGGAATTTAACTAAGTCTTCTTCCTCAGCTAGCAGAGGAGGAGAAAAGCAGCCAGGACCCGAGGCAGGGTAGGCAGTGGAGGGCCGCCCTTGCCTGGCACTCGTGCCTGGGTGTTGGATTGTCTGGTCGAGCTTTTTCTGTTGGCTTGGGTACCCCGGTGGAGCACACCGTGTGATGGTGAGTCTTCCTCAGCACCCACAGGCCTCTGGTAACCCCTTTTATTTTATTTTATTTTAAAGTTTTATTATTATTTTTTAGCTAATGGAAATGTCATTGTTCTTTAAGGACCGCACTATGGGATGCTCAGCTGATTGTACAGGAGAAGGAGGATCCCCAAAGGTGGCGAAGACATTTGAGGTAAGTTGTTGGCCAGAGATTGTCAGAAACAGCATTCAACAGTCAGTGCATTTCTTGACATTTGGGGGAAATTGTCACCCTGTATATTATAACAGTATTTAGATGTGCTGTGCATTTTAAATCTCACCCTTAGAGAGACAATGATTTGGGGGAACGATCGTATCATGGATCCTATGGAAAATTACCTGGTGGTTAATTAGTTGTTTTATGAATCAGAATTTTTTTAAAGAAAAATTCGTCAGTTCGTGGTTTTTAACCTAGATGTTTTCTGATCGTAGAATAAGTATAAACCTTTGTTCTTCTTGTGGAAAAAGTTCACTGTGACTTTTCTCTGGAAGTTGACACTTTATTTAAAAAATGCTGCCTTGTCTCCTTTCCTTTCTGAACTGTGCGGTTCAAGTATGAAATAATCTCATATTTCATCGGGGAGTCGTGAGGAGGAAATGGAGTAAGAATCTTGGAAAAGTACTTTGAAAATTATACAAATCCAACTGTAAGGTGTCTGGTCCTTTCTGTATCATCATTATCCAACACCACTGACCACAGAAGTTTTTGCTTCTCTTCTCCCTGACTGTTCTGCTATCCTCTGCCTGCTTGGTCACTGTCAATTGTCATCATAGTACAGTGTGTCCTTAATGAGCTCACTCCCTGGCAGAGTTCAGAGAGGGCGTGCAACTTTGCCTGGACCTCACACATTGTCAACCCTTCCTATGTCCCAGGGACTGTGCTATGTTTTGGGAACCCAAAGATAAATTCAAGACAAGGTCTCTGCTTGCAAGGAATTTTTTTTTAAAACCAAAATGTAATAGGATATAGAAATTTCCATGTAGAAGTATGTTTGTGAGCCTTATTTGTCAATATTTTTATTTCTGGTGCTTTAAACAGAAACCTTTATATAACCCTACCGTAGCCTGCTAATCTGTAGTGACTAAACTCTGATGCATTTGAGGACTTTTTCAGATACCTGTCTTTAAGAGAATGTGAGCCCAGGGACCCCCTCACTCGATAATCTCTTAAGGTTCTTTATACAAATTTCATACATAAATTCCTCAAAAGAAGCAGGTAAATGTATTATTTTCCCAAAAGGACTTCATACTTTTATACCAAAAAAAATTCTTGGCAAAGAATTAACTCATAATGCCAGTAATCTATTAATTTAGATTTCTACCTTGGGTTTTAGAGGAGGGATGTCGGTTGACACTTAAGTATTTCCATATCAAAACATGACTTACAAGGCACATTTTCACCACGCATATTTGATAAGGCAAATGGAAAATGATACTGATAATTCCGGGGAGAAAATGATGGATTTTACAGGTTCATCTTTGCTCTTTTTAGGGAGTGAGGGTGCTGGGGACCTTGTGGACTTACACATGTTAGGCATGGCGCCCTTTCACGGAGCTATGTCCCCAGCCCTAAACTTTGCTCTTGTCAGTTTTTTACCTCTGTTAATCCACGTATTGGTAATATTTTCTATTGCCCCTCTGCTCTCAAGGAGAGTTTCATTATGCTTTTGCCCTGCCCTTCTACAGTTTCTCCTGGGGCTCAGTAATAGGATGCCTTATCTCAGGTCCTGGAGAATCATTGGATTCCTCTTTGTTTGAAAGAGATCAGCTGCCAGTTCCTCCTGCTTTATCTCCACCCAGAGCAGCCTCCAAACCTGTACTTTTCTTCTTCACACCTCCATATTAGTTTTTAGAAGCGTGTCTCTAACAGACAGTGAACATAGCACTTAAGACTCTAGATAAAGAAAAATGCCCAGGAATCTATTGTAAAACAGAGCTTCAATCCATTTACAATACAGTCTGGATCTTTTGACAAGTTAAGTGTGACCAGTGTAGAGAAGAATACTTTGCTGTAGAATGAGGAACAGAAGGTGTTCCCTAGATTCCGGCTCACAAGAGTCCCCAGATACTTTCCATCAAGTTTTCTACTTCTCAGCTATTTCCATTTCAGCACAAATGATTACCTAATCATGCATGTTGAACTAGGAAATCGCTTTTGCTATGTCCTCTTTTTTGTCACTATCTTTTGTTAGTTCACAAATCATTGTTCCACAGCGTATGATAAGAAACATCCTGCCTTTGAAGTCATCAAGGAACATGCACCATGACTTTACACAGACTGTACTATTACTTCAAAATTGCATTTCAGTCTACTGAAAACCAGCCACACTTCAGTTAATTTTGTTGCATTTCAATCAACTCATTCAACTCTATCATCTAGATATTTTAGCATACTTAGGTAAAATTTCTCTTTGAACCCAGGTTAAAAATTACTTTTACTTCCCACAGTTACAGAAATTTTCTCAAATGCAGCAAAATAGAGTTCTTAAGAATTTAAAAGGCACCCCATTTTCTATTACTTTGAAAAACTGGATCTGGTGCAGTTCTTAATGTATGAGCCAGAGAGGTTAGTGTTACTGTTGAATAGCATTAAGCAATCCCAACTAATAGATGTAGTTGTTTACCGAAATGCAACAATGTCTGGGAATTTTAGAATTTTTAACTAGTATTAGCTATAATTAGAAGAGAAAGTAGAGCATAAGCATATTTTATTCTGTATTTCTTTGCCACTATTAACTAACCTCATGTCTTGGAACTAGTGTGTAACTTAGTGATTTTAGAGTTTTCTTTTCTTTTTTTTGTACCAGGGATCTAACTCTAGACCATGCTGTGCTAAATCCCCGGCCCTTAAGAGTTACTTTTTAATTTTATTTTTTCACAGGGCTGAGGATTGAGCTCAGGGCCTTGGTTATACTAGACAAGTATTCTGTGTCTGAGCTCTGCTTCCAGCCCTACTGGTATTTCAAAGAAATGATTCAAAAAACAAAAGTATATGTGTTGGACCACAATCATCTCAAGTTAGCAGCCCATTGGCTTTAACTATGGAAGTTTCTCTAAACTTTCATCTAGATCCCCTTTCAGATCTCAGCGGGAACCTCAGAGGGGTGGAGCAGGGCTGTGCTTTGTTTTGGTTTTTATGTTGCACAAGCGATTCTGATTGTGCAGTCAGGGTTGTACATCACCTCTGCCCCCCACCATATTCCTGGCTGACCCCACCTCCTGAGAGCTCGGGGATGGAAAATTTCTGCTCTGTGAGGGTGCAGTTTAGCAGTTCAACAAGCTCACCGTACTCAGTCTTACATTTTACCATTCTGTAAGCTGTCTTACCCTTTCCTTTGCTTGCTTCTGTATACTTCAAAAACAGTAAGAAATGAAAACCTGGCAGTCCTACCTCTAGGATTATCTTCAGTGTGGCTTCTTCGGTTTGCCTGACCTCATGGAACTGGGCTTCCTGTAGTTGCCAGTGGCTTATCATGAACTTTCTCAGGGGAGGAAGGTAGGGGGTCCACTCTTAGCTGGACAGTGCCAGAGCACTTGGAGAATGTGAAGGTTACTGCACACTGGTCACCAGGCAGTGGAGTGACTTGCTCTCTGGGCCCAGCCTGGCTCCAGTGGCTGCAAGAGCTGACACTATCTCCCAGGACTCCCATTTATCCACTTTCCCTGCATTCCTGTCACTTTGGGTGCTTTGCTGTTTCTTGAACATGCCACGTGAGTTGCTACCTCAGGGCCTTTGCATCTGCTTCATCTACCTGAACTACTGTAACCCCTAAATATACCCCCATTAGGGAAGACTTCATTAAATTAACCTTTCTCAGATAAGCGTCCTTTTCTTAGTTTTCTTAAGCTGCTTTAAATTTTCATTAGCGTTAATCATCTCCTGACATCTAGTAATCACTTTATATATTTCCCTTCACCAAAACAACCAAGACTGGTATTTCTTGGGGTAGATACCAGTAGAGACAGAATAGGTCATAAAATATTAGATTGAATAAATGAATACTTTTTGCTCTCAGGAGCTTGCATGTGTCTATCCATGGACACAGTGAGTTTGCATAGAAGGGAAGGACTGGTCCTTGCGCAGTGTCAGTATATCCTGTGCTTCCTCAGTGCACCACCTGAGCCACAGTGCTGGTACTGTCAGTGTTTAATGAGTGAATAACAAGGCAAAAATACCAAGAATAATAAAGCAGGTGAAGAAGAAAGAGGAAGGATGAAGGGAAAACATTCTACATTTGTTTGATCAGAAGCAAAACCACAGTTTTATTTTAAAATATACTTTTGCAGAGTGTCCTTGATGAAAAGTTGTATATATCTCTGTTCATGGCACGAATAGTAATCAGAGGGCTTAGAAAATCCATAAAAATATAAGGATCATGTTCTACCATGTAGGAGGGGGACATAAGTGACTGATGATAAAAGTAGCTGAGTGAACTTTTATGTCATTTTGGAAGAACTATGAACATTATCGATTCTATCATGGTGAAGGGACACACGTTCTATTGCCTCTGCAGAGTTTCAAATGGATGCACTTTGAGACCACAGTTCTGCACAAAATAGGTAGATCAGATGCCCAGGTTTCAGTATCACATTGTTTCTCTTGTGTGAGAAATCCAAAGTACAAATAAGGAGCAAAATAGAGGATCAGTATTAGGAAGTAGGAAGAACTTGTTTAGATGGGAACGGAAATGAGATGGGAGGAAGGGAGGAAGAGAAAAGGGATTTAAAGGAAAAGAAAAAGAGGTGAAGAAAACTGTAAATAGAGCTTTTGTAAATAGGGAGGAGAAAAGGATTGAAGGGAAGGGAAAGGGGTTTTTAAAAAAAAGGAATTGAGATGTGTTATCCTCCAGGAGTGTTCCCTGTGTGTGGCAAACATGCAATAATAAAAAAAGATGTGTCCTAGCCAGGTGTGGTGGTACACACCTGTAATCCCAGCACTCGGGAGGCTGAGGCAGGAGGATCCTTGAGAGTTTGAGACCAGTCTGGACTACAGAGTGAGCTCAAGGCCAGCCTGAACATCACAGCAAAACCGTGTCTTAAAGAGATTAAAAAAGATGTATCCAGAACTCAGCAAGTATAAAAAGCTGTCCATTTTCACAACCACTCTGTGTGTGTGTGTGTGTGTGTGTGTGTGTTTGTCTGTCTGATTACCCTCCCCCCTACCAAGAAATTTTACTAGTAACCTTAGAGAAGAAATTTTGTATGTGTTAGTGTATAATTTTAATACAATTCCAGATTTTTCTTAACATAGGATCCCTTCCCATTTAGCAAGAAAAAGCTAGCTAAAGTCAAATCACATATATCACTGTGTAATCTGCTGAAAATATTCATGTCATGAAAAAGTTGCCTAGAATCTCCCTCGCTCTGGGCTGTTTGTTATAATGGGAAGCTCTGAAGGGTTCCGCATTGCTGGTCTAGACCAGGGCTCAGCAAACTTGTGTTCAGTTGTGTGTGTGTGTGTGTGTGTGTGTGTGTGTGTGTGTTTACCCATGTGTGTTTTAGTGCTGAAAATCGAACTCAGCACCTCATTCATGCCAAGCAGGAGCTGTTCCGCTGAGCTACACACTTCTCAGCCCTCAACAAACTTTTCCACAAACTTTGATGGGGCCAAGCAATAGACTTGGTTTCCGATTTCTTCTAATTGAGCTTTTGTGTAGCAAAAAAATCACCAACAGAGTGAAAAGACAACCCATAGAGAGGGAAGAAATTTTAGCCAGTGGTCCTTTAGACAAAGCACTTATATTTAGAATATATAAAGAATTGAAAAAAAATCAACCCACACAAATTTAAAGACCCAATCCAAAAATGGGCATCTGAGATCAATACATACTTCTCAGATGAAGAAATATAGATGGCAAATAAATACATGAAAAAAAAACGTTCAAAAACAACACTGAGATTCCATCTCACTCCAGAAAGAATGGCTGTCATCAAATGCTGGAGAGGCTGTGAGGAGAAAGGAGCTCGGCTTCACTGCTGGGAATGTAGCCTGTTTGCAATCACTATGGAAATCAGTGTGGAGATTCCTCACTGGGTTTAGAGATCGCAGTCGACCCAGCTATTCCCCTTCTGCGTATCTACTCAGAAGAATTAAAAGCATCATACCACTATGGTATGTGCACACTCATGTGTACAGCAGCACAGTTTGTAATAGCTAAGTCTTGAAAACAATCTTAAATATCCATCAACCAAAGAATGGATAAAAAGATGTGGTTTTTTTTTTACACGATGGAGTACTACTATGCCTTATAAAAGGATGTACTTGAGAAATTTATGGGTAAATGGATGCAACTTGAGACCATACTCTTAAGTGAAGTAAGTTGGATTCAAATGTGTAAACATTGCATTATGTCACTGGTATGAGAAACGACAGAGTAAATAAAGACCAACATATAAAATACTGTGAAATGGGGAAGAAAATCATTCAAAAGGAAAGAGGAGCTAGGGTGGGGGAAGGGGAAAAGGAAGGAAGGGAAAAAGGAAAAGAAACGAGAAAGGATAAAATGGAAGCAAAGCTTTGGAAGAGAAGCTTTGGGAAGAGGGATCGAAGGGAGAAGGGAACGGGAAAAAAGAACAAAAATACATCATGTACAGGTGCAGATTCCCTGTGATGAATGTGATCATCATGTAGATCTGAAATGTACTGATGAATATAATTAAAAATAAATATTGTAGACTTGAGGGCTGTTAGGTTAAAACTTCTTTAAAGTATAGGCCGGTTGCTACATTTGACCTACAAGTAAAATTTGCCTCCCCCATTCCCTCCTAGTCTTGAAGATAAAAGGAAAGAAATGAGACCCAAAGATAAGTCAGCTGGCGTATGTCCCTTTCAGTAAATTTATTTCACTTAGTAATGGGTTTTATTTATGTGTTTTTTACTTTTGTTTTGTTTCGTTTTTGGTACAGGGAATCAAACTCAGGACCTCGTGCTTGCCAGGCAGGACTGTGCCAGTGAGCTATATCCCCAGCCAGTAATGAGTTTTACGCTAGCTTATTTTCTTGGATTACACAGTGGTAGAAGAAAGTTACTTTTTTCTCTAAATTTCCATTTTGCTAGAATGAGGTAAGCATTGCAATATTGTATTTTCCTTAATGCCTTGGACTTCACTGTGAGGTGAGCTTTCTGTTTGCTTTAGGATATGTTTTTCAGGCTGAATGTTCTAAAAATGAAATTGGTTATCATTTATAATGTATCAAATGGCTAAAGTAACTGTAAGACAGTGAATTGATCAGGGGTCATTAAAAATCGTTGGAAAAATAATGTAAAAAATATAAAAAACAATGATGTAAGGTGAAGTTCTATTATTTTTTATTTGGTGAGGGTTTTGAGGGTAGTGGAGGTGTGCTGGTGGTTGAACCCAGGGCTTTATACATGCTAAGCAATATTTTATTCCTGACCATACCCGTAGGCCCTGAAGCTCTGTTTGTTTTTTGGAAAGCAGTGAGTATGTTTGTATAATAAGATAAGTTGAAGGCTTGGGGTGAAGCTAATGGTGGAGAGCTTGCTGGACTTGCCACAGGTCATGGGTTTGATTCCCAGAATTGATAAGGGTTAGAGTGGTATGTGCCTGGGGTCCCGGCTGATAGATAGAAAGCAGAAGGGTGGGCCAGTCTGTATAAAACAGTGCAGAGTTGGACATTCTTGCAGCTTGTTAATGGCTTGAACCTGTTCTGTGCCTGGTTTTACAACTGGTCAGAAAGCCTTTCAGGTTTTTTTCACCAGCCTTGTGTAACTGTTACAAAGTTAGAGGCAGGGATGTAGCAAATGTGTGCCTGCCTCTTTGGTCCTTTGTAATGGGCAAAGTGGCTTTGTGAAGAGTTGGTGAAATGCTGTGTGAAGTTGTTTCCTATTACTCTAATTTATGTGTCTTTGAATAAGAGGTCTTTTGTTCACTGTTTCCTTGGCACAGAACAGAGGACTGATAGCTCAGTGCTTGGTTCTCTACTTGTCTGTTTTTTCAAAGAGGAAAACATTCGCCCCACATGGCTGGTTCCTGCTATCTCACATCCAAAGGATTTTGAGGGTTCATACCAGAAATTCTCTGGGTCAGGTGGAGCATGGCTAGTACCAAGTAGAGAGGTTCATTGCTTAATGGCGCTCCTTTGAGTTTAACAGGTCATTGTGAGCATTACTGTTTCTCCCGTGGAAGACACCCACCCCTCTCTTCTTTCACAGATATTTAGCTTGGGGACCTGGCCTAGACCCCTCCCAAGCAAATGTACAGTAAGGCTTAAAATAAATGAAGCAAGTTGGTGTGATTTTAGGGCTCCCGGAGGATCAAAACCCTCTGCAGAGTTAGAGACTTTGGGAGCTAAGTCAAGGAATGTCTCTGGGCAGCCATATTTATTTTTTCAGTCAAGGAAGGGATTAGAGTGGAAAATGCAGGAAACTCAGCAGGATCTCGGGAGTGGTTCAAAGACATTTCCAGGTAACATTATATTAATTTAGGAGACTTATATTGGCTTTGAGTATAATCCTGAGATGACTCATAAAAGCATAGATAATTTTATGCTAAGAAGTATCAATGAGAAATCTCAAATGAGTGGTACCAGTAATCCCAATTCTTTGTTTTATCCTATAGGGAAATATACAAAACTGTTAGTCACTGTGAATTTGTGGTCCCCAACAAGACCTAAAAAGGGACTAGAGAGGATGTGTTGTTTTGCGACATTTGACCTAATCTGCTATTTTGTCTCTATTTCAGAGTATCATGGAAATTGATTCTCTTGGTCTGTCAGGTAGTGCACATTGTAGAGGTTTGGAACAATCGCTGAGTTCTGAATGCATACATGGTCAATTTAGCACACACAGTGTTAAGTTTCTGTATTAGTAGCCAACATTTATAAGTCAAGTTCCCCCCCCCCAATTATCCAACCAGTAGATATTCAGTTACTTTTCTTTAATGGTGCTGATTTTTATTTTTCAGGCTAAAGATTTAATAATCACACAGGCTACCACTTTTAAGGCTAAACCAGACCCAAGTAATCTGGTTTTCGGAACTGTGTTTACGGATCACATGTTGATGGTGGAGTGGTCCTCTGAGTTCGGATGGGACAAGCCTCACATCAAGCCTTTTCAGAATCTGTCACTGCATCCTGGGTCGTCAGTTTTGCACTATGCTGTGGAAGTAAGTATGTGGGGCTTAGTAATGGTGACTTGCTTACTTTTTTTCACTGTGGGTCCCCCAAACTCCCTGCTCAGTTAACTTTGGGATAAAATATGCTTGCTTTATCGAAGTTACTAGAGGAAGTCATAAATATCTGTAAAATTTTTCCTGTAGATAATTGACTGAGGGTAAGTCTTAAGAACTAATTTTTCAGGTCATCCTTAAAGTTTCTGTGATGTCAGTAAGAAAATCATCTGGAGCAGCTAGCAAGGACATTTGGTAGGAGAATCAGCCTGTGCTGGTGATGCATTATTAAGTTACCCTCTTTTCAGATCTTCTGATGATTGAGGAAAGGGTCATTGAATATACTAGCATGATTAAGTTTTAATCTAAGTGTGTGTTTTTATGAGCAACAGTAATGTGTAGTTACGTACACGAATGGACATTAATTAAATGTACTCCTTCAGGCGTGAGTTAGCATAATTATAAGCATAAAATTATTTGGAGCATTTCTTCCTTGGTTCTTCTGAGGATAACAGTTAAACAGATACACAGTACACTCCCATCCCCTTGACTCTGATTTTTATTTTACTTCCTTTTTAATATGCTGGATATCTTTCCTAGAATATTAATTGTGCTGAAAGTTCACAATGGTCTTCCTACCAAGAGACTGGAGATCATCATAATAAAATTTAATGAGTACAGTGATAAAATAACAGCTTTTGTTTATTAAATTCCTGCATTGTGTCAGATTCTTGGTACCTTATGTAGAGCACCTTGTTTAATTATTTTAAATGAGAGAACATGTGGTTAACCAGCCAGCGTCTGGAATCAGGCTTTGTGGATTCAAAGTTGGCCTTGGTTGTTTGCTTGGGAGCTCCATGACTTGGGAAGTTTAGTCATTTGTGCTTTAAGCTATTTACAAAATTGAGGTATGGTGATATCTACCTGGTAGTGTCCTTGTGTACAAAATAAGATAATTCATTCCAACACCTAGAGCCATGCCTCACAAGTAAGTTGTTCTTGCCCCTAAATTAAGGAGCAGTAATGGTGACACAGGGATTCAAATAAAGGGCTCGTATTCCCTTTATACAACCCTAAGTGTGAGCACTAAAGTTACCAAGAGGCTTTTGTAGTTAACTTGTTCAAAAGTATAACTCCAAATAATTGTGGAAATATTTGCCATGCTTAAGTATCCACAAAACACTAAATTTAGGATTCTTAGGTGCCATCCTTGGCCTTGCTCTTAATTGTATCAACTTGAATAAGTTTTTCTGTTATTCATGCCAAACCCTTGCCATGTCATAGGCTGTAATGAAGAGCAAATGAACTTGGCTTTTAAATTTGGAAGAAGATGTATAGTATATGGTCAGTGTAGGGGCTGGTTCCCAAGTTTAGCCCCTGTTAGACTCACCTAACTCTGCCAAGTTTCTGTTTTCTTAAAAAATCTTGAATTTATTGACAAGGACCCAGGTAAGATGGCAAGAAAATCAGCCGTGATCTCGTTTTCAGTGAGTTGTGTTTCTTCCTTATGCATTTTTTTAAGCTTCCACAAAAACCTAGGTAGGTATTTTATTTCAAAGAATTTTTTTTTCTCAACTATTGTGGTTGAAGCAGCTTCCCATTTATGTTAAAGTTTTTCTGTAAGTCTGATTTTTTCTCTTACACTGCTATTGGACATCGTATTATCAGTTGCTAATCTGATTTTTAAGTTCAGTAATAATTGTATAAAATCAACAGCAGGGCCTGGGTATTTAGTTCTTTGGCATAAGCACCTGCCTGGCAAGCACAAGGTTGTGAGCTCAATCCCCAGTACCAAAAACAAAACAAAACAAAATCAATAACAAATGGACGCGGTCCTCCTCTCCTCCACAGAATGACTGGTTTTAGAAGCTGTTTTATTTTGAGAGCAGTAACTGCGAGCAGTTCCGGTTAATATACAGAAGTATTTTTTAAATAGATAAATGTGTGAAGGTTTCAGAAGCTGGAGAGACGTGTGAACTGTGAGTTCATACATAAAACATACATAAAAGGAAAAGCTGCAATTAGGCACTTGGTTTTCAGGTTAAAGTAAATGTTTAGCAAAACAAAGCATAATTTTAAAAAATGGATAAGACATGTATGTATTATGTGTTGCATGCTAATAATGAATACTCATCCAGTTACCATCTAGGTACAGAAACAGTATCACAGAAGCCATCACGAGTCCCATCCTAGTGAATCTTTCTTCACCTAACCATTGGTATTAACTTCCGGGATGACTGTGCTTTTCTTTCTAAAGTGTATGGATCTGTAACACTTTTACTTCTTTTTGAACTTCATGCAAATAATTATATTTTGTTACATGTACACACATTCTAATTATTTGAGCTCAGTGTTTTCCATAAGATCTGTCCAGGCAGAACCAAACCTAACCTGGTGCAGAAGTACAAACAGACTTCCTGGTCCAGCTCCTTTCTCTCTTCTGGCCCTGGCTTTGATCCAGACCTGGGGTGCCATCATGCGTGTGTAGATGAGTTTCTAAGTCACCTTTGTGCACATGGCCCTGGGCCATCCTTGGACACACATCAGTGGTGCGTCAGCTGTTGAAAGGTGCACCTAAGGCCGAGCAAGTCCAAAAACTGGGATCAAGGCCATTTGGGCTGCTTAGTTTGCTTTAGAAAGGAGCTCAGGATCCAATGGGCTTGTACCCCGGGATCTTTGCTACTTGCCCCAAGAAGGTTACAGCTGGAGCAGAGCAAGGGTGAGAGCCTTTGGAAGTATGGGGCTCAAGCTAGAGGCCCTGGCTACCTGGTCTGAAGGTATAGGTAGCACATTTATGCATTCTGTAGTAGTAGTTTTCCATTATGTGGACATATGCTGGCCCAGCAATGGGTACCTTGTGGTGTGTACATCCTTTCTTCTGTGTACATCCTTTCTTCTGTGTACATCCTTATGCATAAATGCAAGTCAGCAATTCTCAAAGTGTGACCAGTAGGTTCTCCTGAGACCCTTTCAAGAAATAATCCTAAACCGGGCATGGTGGCTCACACCTATAATCCCAGCACTCAGGAGGCTAAGGCAGGAGGATCATTGTGTGTTTGAGACTAGCCTGAGCTAGAAAGTGAGCTTAAGACCAGCCTAAACTGCCTAGTGAGACCCTGTCCCAAAAAGACCAAAAAAAAAAAAAAGAGAAAAACTCCTAGGTTAAAACACTTATCACAATAATACGAGTAGCAAGACGTTAGTCTTCTGTTCCATTGTGCCGACACGTGCACTAAGTAAATTTGCATTCCAACCTCTACTAGTTGGTCATTGCACCAGCTGTGCATTAAGTACTTCTCTACGCTGATGCTGACGTAGGAGGATTGCCCAGGAAGAGGTGATTGTGCAATTGGCTCGAGTTTTTAAGAGCAACTAGTTTTTCCCCTAGTACCATTTTTACACCACAGAACAAAGTGTAATTATTCAGTTTTAGCTATTTGGCAGGTGTTTTCTTCTAAACAAAATGAAATGGAGTGAACCTATCACTTAAAGCAAAACAAAAGATGCGAGTATCTTATCAAGAATAAAATCCTTGCTTAAGTGAAAATTAGAATTTTGGAGGTTTTTTTTTTTTTGGTGAGCTACGATACTTTCAACAGTCAAAAAGTTTTATAATATTAGATCATGGTATTGACCATATAAAAAAGTGTTAAAATTTGGAAGCTCTGCCTAACTCAGCCGAATGACCATTTTGGCGTCATAAATTTTTGCATGAATAAAATCAGCTGTTCAGAAGGCAAGATGTGTCAGTTTGACTAGTGTGACTTAATCGCCAGGCTTCTGTTTTTATTTTTCTGGTGAGAATGGCCTACAAAGATGGTCTTTAACTGTGCATGTACATGTGATTAAGGTCCTTACTCGATACTATTATTTTTCAGCATTAGGAACTGAACCCAGGGCCTTTGCATAGAGCTACATCCCCAGCTCTTTTATTTTTTATTGTGAGACAGGATCTCATGCAATTGTGCAGTGTGGGCTTGCTGGAGAATTTGCAAGGGCCCTGCCTCAGCCTCCCAGTGTGCTGGTGTTACAGATGTACCACCATGCCCAGCTTACTCAGTTAATTGAAAGGTAATCCAGTGTTTGTTCACTGTGGGTCCAAGCTTGGCAGTTCCTTGAGGAAACTTGCAACTGTGCTCTTGGCCCCCTGAGTGCCCATAAACTGCTGCTCAGGGCTGGTGGCTTTCACGCTGCCTTGCGGCTTCCCTTCTGGGCGGCCTGTTCCACACACTCCAGAGTCCCTAGCCAGGCTGCAAGGCTGTTCAGCCCAGTTTTTCGTCCTGCCCCTGTGCCGTTCATCCCTCCTCCTACCTCCATTTCCCTGTGAACCTTAACTACCAATCCACTGGATCTAGTAAAGTAACTGAGTCTAGAAGCTGCCTCAGTGTCAGATTCTACAGACCAATCATTTAGTAACTGCTACTTATTGGCTTTGAAATGTTATCAAAGAAGATTATCTGAGATTCTCTGAAAAAGCTATCAAGATACTTCTCCTTGGGTTGAACACATGGTGGCGAAGGCCTGTTGATCCGACCTGCAGATCAACAAGTTCAAAACTCCTGGAGGGGAAACGGGGATTAAATAAAAGACATAGGGGAGACAAAAGCAAGACGAAATAATCTGATCAAGTTTCCGGTTTATTCAGAAAATACTCACCCCTTTTATAGGCTAAGGGCGGGAGCTGGGACAGGAAGAGGTTAAACAGATGAATACAACAGGGTCACCATCACATCCGGATACGTGACGTAAGCAGGAGAGGATTATGGTTAATGTAGGCAGACGCAGTGCCCATAGGAGAGAGAGAGACATCGAGGCAGCAATGTCTGTCACTCGGCTCCCTACATCTCCTCCCTTTTTATATTATTTAATTAAGAGTATGGCAGGCCCTGTGAGGACAGCGTCTGTCTTAGGTCAAGGACCTCATTGCGTGAACCCAACCAGGCCTTACCCGTCATGGGCTTGCAGAACAGCAGTTGGTCCTGTGCCTGTCTTAGGTG